TTGGGGCGGGGTGATAGTTGTGATGACGATAGTAGTGACATAATGGTTGGTAGGGTGTAGGTGGGGCGATATGTGGGATGGTCCAAACAAAGACGATTGTTCCAATTCTATTGAGAGATTTCATTCCAATTCCTACCAACCAAATGCATGGTCAAATTCCATCAAATTCCATTCTAATTCCTTCAAAGTCAAATTCCTTTGATGGATTCCAATTCCATCAAATTCCATTATGTGAACCAAACACCCCATTAGGGTTTAACCGTTTGTCCCAAAATTGAAGAAATCACAAAATTAAAACATGAACATATCTTACTTTGAGCTCCTAATTCCACCTTTTTGACATTCAATCTTCAAGAATCTTAAAATTTAAAGAGAAATTTTGGAGATTTGGAGGAGAAATTGAGAGGTTTCTAGAGAGAGGGAGGAGATATTGATGAGAGAGAGAGAGAGTGAATTTGATTTTGGTTTAAAAAAAGTAATTTCATATATATATTTAGAAGATTTAGAATATAACCCTTGATCATGGCGTACTCCTCATGTTCGAATCGGGGTTTGAAACCAAACTTCTCCATCTTATTTTCAGTATAATCCTATTTTGGCAATTCCTTTACAATTTTGGCCTTAACCAAGATTATGTCATTCAACATTGGTCCTTAAGAGTAATTTATATAATAAACCTAGTCTAATGCACGATTCTTGGAGACTAAGGGACAAGTCACTAAAACACGATTTCGTACATTGAACTCAATTTGGTTTTTGATCACGAGATTGGATTTACTACATACGAGGTATTATAAGCGACCCACATCACATATACGGTTGCCCGCACCCAAAATCTCACTCAGAACTTCATATATGTGACTAGAATCGAGACCCTGGTCGCACATCCGGCCGCTTAACTCTGTCTTTCAATATATGCTACCTCAACTGAGACCCTGATCACGCATTCGGTCGCCTAATTCTCTGTTTCAGGATTTCAGCTCCGCTTGACGCTCTAGTGAGTTAGGCGACTTCGGTAGTGACCCAAGTCGTTGGGACGCTTTTGATGCCAGAAAATCCTCGATTTCACTATTCTTTTGATCCCGAAACACCCAAAGCAAATAAACACTATAGTTATCCCCACTAACTCAACATTAATACATCAAATACAATTTGATTAACCCGTAATACATCCAACGAAAACACGGGTGTTACAATTTTCTTCGTATTCCTTGCCACATTTTGCGTCCTTGTGAAATACATGTTCCAGACACAACTAACCGCGTTCTCCACTTTTGTAATGGGATTAGACAAATACTACACCACCAGTAGATAAGCTTTTGAATGAGGGTAAATGTGTTGTGATTAAGAGCACGATCGGAGGTATGTTTCAATGTTGCAGGAAGATCTACACAAAACTTGTGAAGTGCGTAATCACATGAATGAGAACAGTCGCAGTAACACCTGCGGTACAAGTTGATTTCTTTGTCACGTAGATTATATGGACGAGAGGGGTGGTTGTAATTACATTTTTCCCTTCCTATGCCCCTCTGATATATGTTACTTATATGGTATAAATTTCTGATTTAGAATAATAAATCATATATAAGATATGATAAAGCCTTGGAGAATAATAAATCATATATGTTACATGCACTAGAAGGGGTAGTTCCGGTATTTTTTTTTATCCTACAGTTCGTTAGTAAATAGGGAATAAAGAGTGAAAGGATCATCCAGGAAAATAGTAATAGTGTTCTTAGGAGAGCTCTGAATTCCAGCAATCCTTTGATAATTGCTGACTTCTTCCAATCGAGACAGTCTGAATACATGGTTCTTGATTAGAGTTCCCAAGGGGTTGATTCTTCAAAGATGGAATCCAATCCATAGTTTCCGATTTTCCACAACAGCTCCGATGACGATATTCAGTCACGCCTTCAATCAGAAGCTGACAGATAATGCTCAATTACATGCTACGGTTTGTGAAGATGTAAGCAGTCCTCCACACCGCTCCACCACCGACACCGGGCGATTCTCCACAGTTGGAGATGGAATCCGGTGGTTCCGCCTTGAAGTGTGAGAAGGTTTCACATGGAAAAAACCCCTGATCTCAGCCACAAAAATCTTATGGTCACAGTAGCAACTGTCAATGAAGGAGGGAAAGAAAAGAAGAAAATAGAAAAAGGGGAGAAGGAATCACTGATAGAGCGAAACAGATAAATGAAGAAGGGGACTAGAATCCATGTTTTGACAACGGAGGCTTCAATACAACAAAAGAATTTTCTGTCGACAATGGGGAATCGGGAGAGTTAGGATCGCTCCGCCAGAGATATATATATATATATATATATATATATATATATATA